CATGTCAGATTTTTTTTCAGGCCTTGTTAGGTCTGAATTTGTAGTCAGCAGCACACAGATATTATAAACTGGTATTACACTAAGAATATTTACATAACCCAATAAAGTTCCAGAAATATTTATAATTTGATGTACTGAACATTAGGGTTGCAAACAGTCTATTTGGAAAAATTATGTATATATCGGGGATAATACACAAAAACAAATTTTTGATTTTCAGATCGGGATGACCAGTTTTGGTTACACTGTATTGCAGCAGACCTCTCTGAATTAAGAGCGGTGCCTTTGTTTTGATGGAAAGTGTTTTGATCTTATCACAATCCTTTCTGTCAGCTTAGTTTAAATTCTACAAGCCGCGGTGGCATTTTCTTCTTCCGGGCAAATTAAAATAAAATACTCAGCCGAAAAGTCTAATTGGATTAGCTGCTTCTACTGTTAGTTTTGGATGTGATACACAGAAGTATCATGATGTGTTAGCACAGTCTAACCATCCCTACACAGTATACACAGCTATCCCTAGCAAACCCCGGCTATGCCTGGCATCAGATAGTTCCGTGGGGGCTACAGCCGTATTCTTTCCACTGGCATAATGAACTATCCCTAGCAAACCCTGGCTATCCCTGGCATCAGATAGGTCCGTGGGGGCTGCAGCCGTATTCTTTCCACTGGCATAATGAAGAACAGTGTTGCTGTCTGAAGAAAATACATTTACTTCCATGCAATGCTCCCTCTAACCTGTGGAGTCTTGTGAGGAAAAATTTTACTTTGTGAGCTACTGGCATTAAAGTTGTGAGCAAGCGATTTGGCTACTGCATAAATTAGTTTGCTCTGGAGCCATCCTTCCTGAGCTAAGACAAAAAAAGTGTGAGCCGGAGGCTAAAAAACTGTGAGCTAGCTCACACTAACTCAGCTTAGAGGGAACACTGCCTCCATGCTGTGTGGAGCTTTACTTGCCCATTTCCACACACTACGCCTCTTTTAAGATTTTTCTCCAGGCCTTTAGGTAGTCCTAGGGAAGAACAGGCAGAGCGGTTTCCACACACATCTCAATGGCTAGAAAGCTGAGCACTGTAGCTCCTGGCTAAAGAGGTTTTGCAGCTGTTACTCTATCACGAAAGCATTGCTAGGAGCATGATGGCTGAACCATGTGTTCTTGGGATGCCGGTTATACTTGTAGGTCACTAGGATGGCGGAAGCCTGGTGATCGGCATTGGTACAGCATTTTACTGTCTTGGAAAAGCATCACCATTTAGTTCTGCTGGATGCAGAAATTGGACCTATACCCTCTGATGTGGTAGCTGAAGCCATTTTATTTAGGATGGCTTAAGAGATCTATGGCCTGGATAGACCTTGTCAGGTCTCAGAATCTAAGCAGGGTCAGCCCGGGTTAGTACTTCAGTGGGAGACCACCACGGTCTCCACAGAGGCTGGCGAACCCCCTCTAAATATCTCTTGCCTTGAAAACCCCATGGGGTTACCATACGTTAGCTGCAACTTGACAGCCAAAAAAAGAGGGGGTGTATTTTTTTTTGCAGCTCTTCAGGTATTCATGCACCCCTCTGTACTGAAAAGTGTCTTTCTCAGACACTAATGAAAACAGCCCCCTCTCCTGGTATTTCATCTTTATTTTTTTCATTCCATGGTTAGGTACAATGCTTTCCCCTCTCTCCTATATTCCCGTTTTGTTTTTACAAATGGACCTCAAAGCAGAATTTGAGCCATATAGTAAATGTCAATAATAATAATAAAAAATTATGTATAAAGAATGATAGAAGTTTAAAGCATGCTCTACCGAGTGGGGGGGGGGAAACACCCCCAAGAGCTCTATGACTGTGAACCAGAATGTTGCTGTTCCCCCAAATGGTAGCCTTGATAAAGGAACAAGAGTGGTTCAGCCTGGTTTCTAGCCACTCTCTTGGTCCTTGAACTCCCAGAACTGTTTTCTTGTTGCAGACTCTACTTAGTGCTGATGGATAGTCATTCTGTATATACTTAGAGCAAGTGAAGCGTAGCAGCTGAGGACCAAACCAGACAGGAATGATCTCATGGCACTGTTAAATGGGTACACGTGCAGCCCAAATTCAGTCTGGGATCATGCAGGATGGGAAGAGGGGATTCAGCTGTGCTTGGATTTTGCTAATCAGAACAAGGCTCCCCTGCACTGTTATTAGCGTTTTAAAAGAAAAAAGTGCACTTAAAAACCTATTTTCCTTTAAAATGTTAATAAAAGCATAGGGAGTCCAATTTCAATTAAAGGTAAAGGTAAAGGTTCCCTTGCTCGAAAGCCAGTCGAATCCAACTCTAGGGTTGCGGTGCTCATCTCCATTTCAAAACCGAAGAGCTAGCGCTGTCTGAAGAAGTTTCCGTGGTCATGTGGCCGGCATGACTAAACACCAAGGTGCACGGAACGCTGTTTCAATTAGTGGAACTAAAAAGGGGTTGAAAAGTTAAATCCCCTCTTTCCTGTGTGGTCCCAATCCAAATCACGACCGTGCACATGTGTGTGCACACATACACAATTTGTCTTACACACTGACCAAGATCCATGATTGCTGTCATGTCCATTTGACTAAACTTCAAACTAGAAGTACCTCAGTTCAAATCTCACCTCATTACTTATGCCATGATATGCCACTTCGTACCATGACTAAGATTCTGGAATGATCATTCCATAAGGTCCTAGATCAATATTGCTGCATTTGGAATATCTTTAGTTGAAATGATTGGGTTGTGTTTCTATGTTTCCATAATCCTCCAAATTTGTCATTGTCATTTAAGAGTTCTGATATGTTTTGAGACTACTCTACTGCATGCGATTTTTGATGCTGTTCAATCATCTCTGTCTCACATAATGGATTGTATTTTGGTAGTTAGGCAGTCCCATGATTTGTTTCAATGAGTATTCCTTTATAGGGTATTTTCTGTTCCACTGAAATTTACTCTTTCTCTGTTTGGCCAGTGACCCAAGTCCTGTGTGTGGCCATGGGATGAACCACCAATTCCCAGCCTCGGTTTTCTATTTGTAAAATGGGAACAACAGAAACTAGGGTTACCAGATGTCCTCTTTCTAGAGGACATGTCCTCTTCTTTTGGCGTCCATCCTCTTTTGAGTTCTTTTTAAAATATGGATGAAAATGTCCTCTTTTTTCGTTGGAAAGTTAGCAATATTCCTTGTTAGTAGCAATTATCACAGCTTAAATAGTAGCAGTATTTAAAAAGATTTGTCACAGTGATCACTTGTTTGAAGTAATCCATCGGAAAATATGTCCTCTTGTTTTGCTTTTCAAAAATTGTATTTTGGTAGTTAGGCAGTCCCATTATTTGTTTCAATGAGCATTCCTTTATAGGGTATTTCGTGTTCCACTGAAATTGTACTCTTTCTCTGTTTGGTCTGTGACCCAAGCCCTGTGTGTGGCCATGGGCTGAACCACCAATCCCCAGCCTCCGTTTTCTATTTGTAAAATGGGAACAATAGAAACTAGGGTTACCAGATGTCCTCTTTCTAGAGGACATGTCCTCTTCTTTTGGCGTCCATCCTCTTTTGAGTTCTTTTTAAAATATGGATGAAAATGTCCTCTTTTTTCGTTGGAAAGTTAGCAATATTCCTTGTTAGTAGCAATTATCACAGCTTAAATAGTAGCAGTATTTAAAAAGATTTGTCACAGTGATCACTTGTTTGAAGTAATCCGTCGGGAAATATGTCCTCTTGTTTTGCTTTTCAAAATACGGTAACCCTCACAGAAACCAAAGACCCTGAACCATTCAGAGGTCAAGCCCAGTAAAGATGGCAAAGTACTATGCACATTAGAAGTGCAATTAAAATGATTAATTACAGGGATGAAAACATCCTGCAGTTACAGAGAAACACAGGTCCATTTGAGGCATGATATGAACAAGAATGTATATATTCTGCACAAAATAATTCAGTAAAAGTTATGTGCTAATAACAGCTGAATTATGCAACTAATTTATATATTTATACAAATATGCATACATTTACTAAAACATTTTGCCTTTTTTTTGTACTGCTGTCAGTTATGGAAAGTGTCAAGTAGGAAGCCAATATGGTACAGTGATGAGAGAGTCAGACTTGGGGGTCGCCTAGATTGGACAGCCGCCATTTTAAGGCTGGGATTTCCTTCTTTCAAAAATACCAGGGGGGCCCAATCCTGAAAGCCTACTTGATGGAGAAGAAGGAGGAGGAGGAGGAGAAGGAGAAGGAGATTGGATTTATACCCCGCCCTTCACTCGGAGTCTCAGAGCGGCTTACAAACTCCTTTCCCTTCCCCTCCCCACAACAGACACCCTGTGAGGTAGGTGGGGTTGAGAGAGCTCTGACAGAAACTGCTCTTTTTCAAGAACAGCTGTGCCAGAACTGTGGCTTGCCCAAGGTCATCCAGCCAGGTGCAAGTGGAGGAGTGGGGAATCAAACCTGGTTCTCCCAGATTAGAGTCCGCGCACTTAACCACTACACCAAACTGGCTCCCTTAGGCAGTCTTCCCTTGGCTGAGGAAGCCTGAAAATGGCACAGAGGTTTGTTTTTTTTGGGGGGGGAGGGGCCCAGTGGTAGTGGAGGTGACAGACAGTGCTTGCTGGGTGATGAGGGAGCAGCCAGGGCTGGAGACAGGGATGTTGTCACAACTAGGTGAGCCCTAGGACTGGGGAGACTGGAACAATGAAATCCCCCAGTCAACCACTAGATAATCTTGGACCAGTTATTCTTCCAGCCTAACCTACCTCACAGGGTTGTTGTGAGGATACAATGGGAGCAGAGAACACCTTTTAGGACGGGAGGGGATAAAGATGAGACAGATGTAATGACAGAGGAAGTGTCCTCTAAGCAGTGAAATCTGACTACAGATCCTTGCTTCTGGGCCTTCACTTTAAAAATGGCCTCACACTTCCATCTTCATGGCCCTTGACTGACTAGGACCCATGCCCACTGAGTCTGCCCACTGCATTCAGGAAGTAGCAAACACGGCCCAGGATATGATCTGATTTCACTGTATCATAATAGGGCCAAGGCCCCGGGCTTAGCAGCGTCTGGCTAAGTCTGGGCAGGGCAGGGGGATCTTAGGTAAACGTGATCCAGAAAAAAAATCTGAAGTCTGAAATAGCAGGTAAGGGGACTTCTGGAAGAAAACATCCAGTAAATCCCAATTATTTTCAGACTGGAATTGATAAGAGTCACTGATCTCTAAACCAAGGGCAACCAATGCAAATTCATTAAAGACATGGCTTTGTATTTCCTGGGGATAAATCTTGGCACTAAAACAAGTACTGGAGTGAAGGTTTTTTTAAAAAATGTATCTTTTGCATTGTGCTGGGCCATCCCCATGTCCTGACATGTAGACAAAAACAGAGTACAAACTATACATTTTAGAAAATATCACATTGACTGAGCTATACACAGAAATCCATTGTCTAGTCTTTAGCTGGCTCCGACATGGTTCATTATATCACCGAGGTTTCTGTCTGGAGCGAAAACTGTGTTGTTGAGTTACGATGCAACTGTGAGATACTTTCTGAGCCATTTCTAGAAATGGAAGAGCTGTGAAGCTTGTAATCACGACCCATTCTTTGGTTCAAACACCAACTCCGCCATTTTCTTTTCAGTTCACCTTGTACCTTAAACGTAAACAAAGCAAGCAAACAGGAAAATTATTAGTGTGGTGTTTGTACCATGAAAAGTGTGCTTCATTGGTAAATAAAATAAAGTAAAAGACTCTTGTTAAAAAACTATAGTACTTGCATCTTTATATCATGACAGTAATATTGTCTAATAGTTCATTTTGTGGAGGAACTATCAAAGAATATAGAGGATCTGATAAGTGAGGCTGTTCTAAAACAGCAGCCACTGTGCTGGTGACTTGCCAAGAATTATCTGGTGTCACAGAAACACAGAAGCAAAGAAATATAGAGATGGTAGGAACTCCAAGGGTCATCTAGTCCAACCCTCTGCACAATGCAGGAAATTCACGCCCAAAAGAAGACAAAAAGCTGGGCGAAAAATTCCTTCCTGACCCCAAAGTGATGATCAGCATTACCCTGGGCATATAAGAAAGGGCCACAAGAGCCCAGTACGTCCTGCCCTCCCTCTCACAATCTGCCTAAATTCCTAGTGAGTCATCGAACCAGCCTCTGCTTAAAAACCTCCAAAGAAGTAGAGCCCACCTCCTCCTGAGGAACCCTGTTCTACTGAGGAACTGCTCTGCCAGGAAATTTTTTCCTAATGCTTAGCTGAAAGCTCTTTGGATTTAATTTCAACCCACTGGTTCTGGGTCTGACCTGCCATTCAAGGGCATCAGCCAACAGAGTTCCAAGGAAATGAATGGGAAATTCCTATGCACTGCTTCTTTAGCCGCAGTGGCACAAGATTCAAACATACATCAAATAGGCTGGAGGACAAGATGAATATGGAAGGCTTCTGAAGAATGACGTGATCCCCTATCACCTCCATTCCTAGAACCACCCAAAAGGAGTAAAATAATTCAACAGCAGTTCTGTGAATATCCAATCATGTTGTGAGCATTTTGTAATCAGTGGTGCCAAATATTGCAGAATAATACGGTGCAACTATCTCTCTTAATATCTAAGCAGAGATTTTGACAAGGGCTATAAATGCAACCGAAGAATAGATTCTTTTGAACTAGGGTGCTGGAGAAGACTTTTGAGAGTCCCTTGGACTGCAAGAAGATCAAATCAGTCAATCCTAAAAGAAATCAACCCTGACTGTTCCCTGGAAGGCCAGATAATGAAACTGAAGCTCAAATACTTTGGCCACCAAATGAGAAGGAGAAGACCCTGATGCTGGGAAAGATTGAAGGTCAAAGAAGACGGGGACGGCAAAGGATGAGATGGTTGGACAGTGTCATAGATGCAACGAACATAAAATTGAGCAAACTTCAGAGGACGGCGGAAGACCAGAAGGCCTGGCAGGATCTGGTCCATGGGGTCGCGAAGAGTCGGACTCGACTATGCGACTGAACAACAACAACAAATAAATAAAACAACCTTCATCAAAAAAGTGGGCTGCCTACTTCCATACTGATTTTTTTTTTAATGAAGGTTGGGTCTTGGGTCACTTCGGGTCGTTCAAATAAACGGTGTGTCAAACAACATCCCTCCCTTTTATTGCTTCAGTAATTATCACAAGATGGTAAATGTGAACTTACTTCGCTATTCAGAAAACAATACAGGACTGCAACAACTAGGCCCTGTAAAAGTAGAGAAGATGAGTGAGTTAAAATGAAACATAATGATAAACAGTATCAGAGAATAAAAATATTGAAAATGAGAAGGTTTACAAGTTACCTGAAATGATCCCAGGCATAATTCAAAAATGATTTGATACTTATGGGAAATGCGGATGGGAAAGACCGCAAACACCATGTAGTGGACTCCAAACAGCGGAATAAGCAGCAATGTTGATTTTGCAAGTCTCCTGAAAAAGAACCAGGAAGAATCAGAGCTCAGCTGAGCTCCTGTTGACCTCTGTTTGCCAAAACAGGCCCAGATGCAACCACACAGTTTCACTCACTTGTACTGGGACTGGTCGTTGCCTCCAACATCTGGTGATCTCAGCTTCTGTAGTAAAATTCTTATAATGCTTATGAAAAGTATAAAATTCACCTACAAAAAAAAGCAGCAGTGCTTATTAGCAATTCCATTTAACGTCTCTTACTAAACCATCCACCTACAGCATGCTCAGCTTTAAGAAAAACTTATTGTATGAAGAGCTAGGTTTGACTCCAGTAGCACCTTAGAGACAACAAGATTTTCAGGGTGTAAGCTTTTGAGAGTCAAAGCTACTTCAGGACTTGAATCAACTTCTTCTGCTACTACGGCTACCCTCTGAAACTATGCTTATGGTATTCATCAGCTAGTAAACATTTGGATAAATTACAGGGTAAAAGCTGAACCTCCTTAGTCCAATACATGTTCAATCTTTATTCATAAGACATCTCATTGCACCAGCTGATCATCACCTTGTGGATCAGGACCATTGGTGCTGTTGTACCTCCGCTCTGGAAAGCATTTACTCATGTGAGGCTGATTCCTTGTAAGTTTTTAGGAAACTTGTTAAAATAGTTCTATTCCACCAGACGTTTGAAGGCAGGTAGAAGACAGAGTGTATGATCAACTCCTTTACCATTACATCTAGATTCTTATGAATTATTATTTGGGGGGTGTTTACTTTTCATTTTGTAAAATCTTCCATTACAATAATGTTGCCGCTCTAATTCCAGAGATGGAAACAGATAAATTATGAATAATTTCTAAACAGAATAACAAGATATTAGGTTGTTGCAGTGCCAGGGAAGCTTAAAGAAAGGTAAAACCATCAAGTGTTTTGATAAGAGTATGGTGTTATTTCTATTAAACATTCCTAGGAGATGAACTAAATGATATTAATATTTCCAAATGATCTCTAACAAGTTGGCTGTTTACAAGAAGACTTTGGAGAGTACACATAGCTCAGGAAGGTGGAACATGTTGAGGCAGCAACCAACATGACTGGCTTTCAGGAATTGGCTTTGTAACTCTGCTACAGAATTGTTTAATTATCATGGCTTTTGTATTAATTTTGAATCTATTGTAAGCTGCCTTGGGGACCAAAAACTGAGGGTAACGACATAAGAAAGAAATCAGTAGTTTGTAACAGCAGATATGTCAAAACCCCATGCAGTTTTCTGTTTACGATTTGCCAAACCAAAATGCCATATTTATGGAAACAAAGGACAAGGAATAAGAAAAAAAGGATGCTGGTAAATTGCATTGATGCCAAGCTCTGGTAGAGCTTCCAGAGAACAGTCTGGTACAGGACATCTCTAATTAAAAAGATCAGGGAAGGCTATAAAAATGTGAACAGCACAAAATGTCAAAGCTTGCCAACAAGGTGTCTGAGGCCAAAATGCTATTGGGAAATGTTTCTAACATGCTCATGCGGAGAGATGTTGGAGTGTCAGAAGTAAATGACTCAGTGTGTTGAGGTGGTTAGAATGTCAGACTAGAACTGGGAACCACTGGGTTCAAATGCCCAATCGGCCATCCAAGTCACCGGGTGACCTTGGGTTAGTCACCCTCTCTCAGCCTAATCTACCTCACAGGATTTTTGTGAGGAAAAAGTGCAGGGGAAACCCACGTATGGTGCTCTGAGCTCCTTGGAGGAAAGGCAGGATAAACATGGATTGACAGTTTCATAGTATTACCAAAGAACAATAAGTAGCCATATAACTACAAACTCACAAGGAGTGATTCATCATTCAGTTGAAAATAGGGAGAGACAGAATTGATGCTGACTTGGGACTTCTATGTGTTTGAAGAGACTGGTGTTTTGACCTCAAAAATAGCTGCACTGTCAACAAATTTTATTGACACCAGTTTCCCGCCAAAAATTGCCACCTATAAGTGGATGAGGAAAACTTACAGACAGACACAAATTTTCCCCAGCGGGGGTAAAAGTGACTTGAGAGTGGTGATTTTTATAGGAAAACAGCAAGAATTAACTCTACTTTCTCTAAACCCCCATGTCTCCTCCCTACAGCTGCATTTTGTTTAAAAAAATTATAGATAGATCACATCTGATTCTCCTCTAAGTACAGAAAAGTTTTATTATGAGGTGACAACAGTCAGCAGTTAACACTTTCTGGCAATTTTTCCATAAGGTAAAGCCAGAATATAGCAGCTAGTTCTCACTAGCAGCAGGTGATGTGATAAACCAATGTGTGTACTGTACCACTTCAACCTGTACATGGAATAGCTTTAAAAAATCTTCTCATTTTGTGGGAATTTTAAAATGTATCTTGTTGTTTTATTGTGTCATTCTTTTAAACTATTATGGGGAGGGGATTCTTGCGGTAAAAGGATAATTTATAAAAAGTTACTAAATAATGAATGAAAACAATATGCTTTGCCTAGATTAATGCAAGCATACAGACAGAAAGTAAACTTAATAGGCCAAGAAATTACTGTGTGAAAATAATCCATATGTAATGTTTAATTTACTTACTAAAATGGAAATTAGGATTGGTAATTTTATAATCCACCAAGGACCACTGTGCTCATTGGTATCCCAGCAGCTACAAGAAAAGGGGGAGGGGGATAAAAATATTACTTTTCAGTTGTCCTGAAAGCATCCATTATAAACAAACACAGATGACAAACTGACTAAATAGCTTTGTTTTACTAGAAATCTGTTATGAGCTTTCAAATAAAATGATTTTGTATTTTCTGATCAGTTTACTGACTGCCTGAATAGCCAGCGAGAAACGTAGACTATAAATGATAATAAATAAAAACAAATATTCCTTACGACTGTATGAATATATGAAGCTGCTTTATAATGAGCCAGACTACTGGTCCATCTAACTCAGTACTCTGACTGGACTTCTCATCTCCCAAGCAGATTTATTTCCCAAAATCTTATATAGCAGATGTCTTTAACTGGAGATGCCAAGAATTGTACCTGGAAGGTTCCATATGCAAAGCTATAAACTCTCCCATAGTTATAGATCCATAGTTATACTAGTTTTGATCTACAGTACAGCATTCAATACAGAGCAACCAATATTAATTCTTGAAAGATTATGGTTCAGTTACATGTCAGTCTCTCGTCTCAAACTCACTGCTCCAGAAAGTGGTTTCAGATATATTTTTGTTTCAAATAATGAACATGAGAACATAAAAGAAACCATGTTGGATCAGGCCAATGGCCCGTCCAGTCCAAACCTCTGTGTCAAACAGTGGCCAAAACCTGGGTGCTATCAGGAGGACCACCACTGGGGCCAGAACTCCAGAAGCCCTCCCACTGTTGTCCCTCAAACACCAAGAATACAGAGCATCACTGTCCCAGACATAGTATTCCCTCTATTCTAGGGGCGTGCAAAAAAAAAAAAAAAAAGTTGGTATTTCCCGATACTCCCGAATCCCAATACTGGTATGGTATTCAGATTTGGGAAATATTGGGGAAATCTGAATTTTTTTGGGTCCATTATTGTCAATGGTCCCCATATCTGGGGGTATCTGGAGCTCTGTTTTTTGAGATAGAGGCACCAAATTTGCAACATAGATGCTGGTGTCTCTCCTAAAAAAAAAGCCAGAGTTCAAAAAAGATTGGACTGGGGGGTCCAATTCTACGGGCCTCCAAAGAAGGTGCCCCCATCCTTCATTGATTTCAATGGAGAAAAAAGGGCATTTAGAAGAATTACAGTCACCCAGAAGGCATTTAAAGGGACCACAATCCCTTTAAACACCTTTTAAGGTTGTCTATCCAGCAGTCCCAAAAATCCCGAATATTTTTGGGATTTTCGGGGCTTGGCCAATATCCAAAATGTTAGATTGGATATTTTCTGCTCAGCTTTAGCTGAACGCACACCCCTCCTCTATACCTTCTAGCTAATATCCACAGATGGACCTCGGCTCCATATGTTTATCCAATCCCCTCTTGAAGCTGTCTATGCTTGTAGTCACCACCAGTTCCTGCAGCAGTGAATTCCACATATTAATTATTCTTTGGGTGAAGAAGTACTTCCTTTTATGTATTCCAAACCTACTGCTCATTAAATTAATCGAGTGCCCATGAGTTCTTGTATTGTGAGAAAGGGAGAAGAGTACTTCTTTCTCTAACTTCTGTATCCCATGAATAATTTTGTAAACCTCTGTCATGTCACTCTTCAGTCATCATTTCTCCAAGCTAGAGCCCTAACCTCTTTAACCTTTCTTCATAGGGGAGGTGTTCCATCCCCTTAATCATTTTAGTTGCCCTTTCCTGCACTTTTTCCAGAGCTATAATATCTTTTTTGAGGTGCGGTGACCAGAATTTCACACAGTATTTCAAATAAGGCCACACCATAGATTTATACAGGGACATTGTGATACTGGATGATTTGTTTTCGTTCCCCTTCTCAATAATTCCCAGCAGTTGGCCTTTTTTAACTGCAGTTGCACACTGAGTCAACATTTTCAGGGAGTTATCTACCACAACTCCAAGATCTCTCGCCTGGTCAGTTACCACTAGTTCAGACCCCATCGACATATATTTATAGTTGGGATTTTGGGCTCCAATGTGCATTACTTTGCACTTGCCCACACTGAACCTCATGCTAACATTCCAAGAGCTGGTACTGACCTTCGACATGGGCAATCTCAACAACAACTTGTGATTACAAATTTTTGAAATTTACTCCTTGTTTGGTACTTACCCAGTGTTCTCTAAGTAGATCCTAGATACTGTCCACATGACGATGAACACTGTAGGGATTCCTAGAAAAGAGATGAAATGGGAAAAAGGAGAATGGGTGGAATTATGTTTCTGTAATATATCACATTACCAATGCAAAATACACTGTTGTGTATGCAAATTAACTGCAAGCATAGCAGATCAACTTAAGATAAAGCATGAAATTTGCAGTTATGTTGTTTAGCAGAATGGTCTTTCTCCAGCAAAGTGTCCTTCCCAGGCATGGGAGGGGGACCGCTGAGGGTGGGGAGCGCAGGAGAGAACTGGTGGGATTAAGCATCTCTTCCTTGCCCTCTCCTTCTCCTATGCCACTTTTTAGATATTCAGCACAGACTGCAATCTTAGACCAAGGCCTCTGCCAAATATTATCTGGTTTGCCTAACAGTTTTCCTTCATCAACTGCTAGCTGATAATGCTCCAGTTAAGAAACAATGGAGAGTTTTGGCTCCGTCTCATTATACAGTTGATACTGGTACAGCTGTAAGGAAATGACAGCAGAAGGATGCTGTTGTCTGTGAAAATATACAAGAAGCAGGGGACACAATGCCGAACATAATTTGCTGGGATGGGAGAGGAAGATTCTACAGCATCCCTTCCTTCACTAGAACTTCATGTCTTCCACCTCAGCTTCCTATATCAGGACGGTCTTGCCTTTCCCTCGGAGCCAACAGCAGCTACAGTGAACATATGTATCTTCTTTATGTCAAAATGGACCATTGATCTATCCAGGGCTGGATTAAGACATACTGAAGCCCTAAATTATCCAAAGTTTAAGAAGGCCCACAGCATTACCCCCAAAATGGTAATTTAGTCATTTTAGGGTTTTTTGATGCCCTAAGGCAGGGTAATATACATGGGCCCAAACTGGCTGTTATCTGGCCCATGAGCAACTGGTGCTGTTGCTGTTGTTCCTGACACGCAGATGGTTGAGAGGAGTAAAAGGGGGAAGTTCAATTAATCCAAGTGGCCTGACTACAAAAGTTGGCCCCTTAGACATTCCACAGGAAGCAGCGGTTCTACACACACTGCAAGATGTCCATGATTTGGCAACCAAAGTATCTGGAATAGTACAGAATGAAGGACAAACACCAGAAAGATGTCCCTCAAGTATAGATGCGGTATGTGAATCTGGTCTACTTTCAGATACCTGCATGGGATATCAGATTTCCTGGATACCCACCAGATCTCACGTATGTCTGGTGATCGAGACAGGGAAGTGATGCCCATATGAGGGACATGGATATACCCTTGAGGAGGAATCAGGATTATTATTCAATAACATTAATCCTGAAACAACTCATACCGCTGTTCTCAGCCTATGAGGGAAAAGGGGTTGTGGGAAGACAAAAAGCGCCCCTTGGAGGTTTTTGAAACAGACTTCCCGTCAAGCCTTCCCCTCAGCCCCGCCGCTTCTGTGGGAAATGCAGGAGGGGATGAGAACAGGGGGTGGGGGGATCTGAGAGAGCCAGGCTTTTGTGGGTTCCCCAGTAAATCAATTGCTTTCACTGCTAGGAATCAATTGCTTTTGTATTTTGAGTTTAAAATAATATTGTTCATTGGGTTTGCCTGCGTCCTTTATAAAGTTTATATCTCCGGTACCTGACATTACACACATGGCCTGAGCAAACAAAGTGACATTTATGTCAGATCCAGCCCTCATCACAAATGGGCTCGACACCTCCGCTCTAACCACTACAGGTTGAGGCAGGAAAGAGAAACAGCAGAAGGGGGAAGGGCTTGACCCTCCCGATTGCAGCCATGCTCCTAAGCACCCGTCTTCCATCCCCTCCCCCCAATGAGCTTCGATAGACATGGCAAATTGTGTCTTTTAATATGGGGAGGCAAGAAAAGGGTTAAGCCCCTCCTGCCCTGGGCTGCTTCTCAGCCCCAACCCGCTTCCCCTCACCCTTCCAGGCCACCCAGGGCTGCTTTCACCAAAAGAGAAATAACAGCTGTATCTCGCCTGCATTTCTGGGTTCTGTTGAGGCAGGCTACGGGAGAACTGAAATGACAGCTTGGTGGTGTGCATACGCGCTTCAGCATTACACTGCGTCAGCTCTTAACGTACCTTGCCTCTAGGTGGGCAGCCGTGAAGCAGGAGAACAGAGTTTGAGTCCAGGGGCACCTTTAAGGCCAGCCACATTTTATTATGCTGGCGTGAAACTGCTTAGCTCCTGCCTTGAA